AGTCAGATAAATTAAAAATAAAAATTTGCTTTAAACCAAAATCAACAATAAAGAAATTAAGAAACTTTCTTTCTACATTCTACACTAGACTATTTACATTTCATAAATAAGGAATCATAACAGAAAATAAAATTCCACTCAATTATAATGTTATCACATGTAATTAATAAATGAAAAAATTATATATACAGTATTACATACAATAACAAGTTTTAAAAATATCTTTAACATCATATACAGTCAAAAGTCGTTAATTCGGACACCCATAATCCAAACCTCAAAGCTACAAACTTTCTGCACATGCCATGCGTCGCGTTGACGCATGCGGGTAAGACCTTTACGGCTGCGAATATGCGTGTGCGTTTAAGCTAAGCTAAAATTATTCTAATTCAGTTAATGCTGCAGATTGCGTTGTTCTTTAATCTTCGAATTGGATCTGGCTTATTATTTTTTGCAGACTGTTAGAGCAATTCTATAAAAGTAAGCTTGAACTTTCGTTTATGTCAAATAGAATTTCCGATATATATTTACTAATATGTAAAGGATCTACAAAGCGAAAGTATGTTTCGAAGTCCATTAAACAAAAAGTGGAATTGCTGCAAAAAATGGATAAAGGCACATCCTTCGTTTCTCTAACATTCCGAAATCTGTTTATCAATTTCACACTGCTCTGCGGCAAGGGGAGGGGGAACCCGCGGTGCGCAATGAATTGGAAGTTGATCTGTCAGCACTATCCTTATCTTCAGGGCAAATGTTTTTATTTTATTCGGCTTACAATTCCATACTAAATGTAGTATTTCATCTTGATGTACTCCGTCTTTGATATGATTTAAATCAAATTCCTCCTCATTATAATTCGCTTCTGATAGTGAAGAAAGTGACACAGAGGTTATTGAAAATGAAAAAATTTCGATTGACAAATTACTCGGTATTCTCGACACAGCAATTATAGGACTTGAACAGAGGAACTTTGTAACTGAAGAAGAAATTATGTCTGTTTATAGAATTAAAGAGAAAGTATTATCACATAAAATGAAGCAACTTACATTGAAAGAAATGTTTAATAAAGTAAACAAATAAATATTAATCTTTTTTTTTTTTTTTTTGTAAATTTTGATACCCTTTAGATCATAATTGCTCTTTATTTCATAAATTACGGTTTCATATTTTTAATTTTATAATTTCTGCATGCCATCTTACCAGATTTCAACTGATGATCTATAATCCAGAAAAATCGATAATCCGGAATCGCCGAAGTCCCGACGAGTCCAGATTAACGACTTTTGACTGTAGTACAAAATCAAATGCACAGTTTTAAACACTGTACAATGATATACATTTTACATTTAAAATAAAATGTTTTTCTAGGTATTAAGGTGCATATATATACTTAACGCTTATTTTTTTCAATATGTTTAACCAAATGCCACATAAATTCATACATACACTACTTAAGTTATGCAAAAGCTACTAAAACAATTATTAAATGCTTTCAAATTTTTAATACTAATATAGAAAACACCAGATTGAAAATTTCTTCTTTCCCCCCCATTTACACAAACAGGCCTAACTTACAGAATTATTTGCAATCATTATTTTTTTTTTAAATATGTATACTCTATTTATACCTTTAAGCATGTAATCAATGCAATATAACAATTCCTTTAAATCATCAATCAAACATTAATTTTAATTAATAAACACAATGTCAATTTTAACATCTCTTGCTTAGCATTAGAAACTGGATTTCATTACAGTTTGAGGCTTTGCTCCTTTTCATAGCTCACTGTGTTCTCAAGATCACAATGAATACACAGAAGATTTTACACAACACTGAAAAAATATTTGGAATTATTTTTGTCAATCAAACTTGGCAAGAAGTTTTGAAACCTTCTACAATTCAGAATTTCATGTATGAAATTCTTGGAAATCTGATATTAAAACAGGCAGAGTTGAAATTTGCTAAGGTAGTTGAAATTTGCTAAGGAACAAATTTTTTGAATATTTTTTAAAGCACTTAACAGTTCTTTTGTGTTTTATTCTAACATATGTAGACAGCCATCGAGATAAATATCATTCACATTTTAAAATAAAACGAAGCAATTTCAAGCAAATTTTATCTTATTTCTTTATAAAGAATGAACGTTTCTTATAATTATATGTTTATAACGAATGAAC